AGAAAATAGATGCTAGATAAAAAAATAAAAATAATTTAATAAAAATAATACAATGTCTAGGGAGCCGAGGCTTTTGTAATGCAGGCTAATCCCAGACTGTTTCTATGTTGTTGTTAGCTTAAAATAATGTTGTAGGTTAGACCTTTTTCCTTTTTTTTTTCTCTTATCAAAACCTCATTTACGTTTTATTCCTTGAGTTGCAACGGAGCTACTAGATCAGAAATTTTTAGTATCTCCTACCTTTATTACAATTGTGTGGGCAAACACTATAGATAATATAACCACTCTGAGGTGATACCTCGTTTATATATTGAATCACAATTAATTGTATAATAATTTATTTGGCTGCCAAGTGGTACAAATACTGCACTGCACCTCAGTGCTTTTTTTTTTTTTTTAATGCAGCCATTTTTTTTTTCCTAAATTCACGATGCCTCCACTGAACTGTTTACCGTGGGAAGGGCATAACTTTATTGCCCCCCCATTTTACTTTTTTTTTCCTTTCCCTGCTTCTCAGTAACATCATGTTTTGCAGAGGCCCTTTAAAACATTTCTATTCCTCTCAAAAACATTTTTTTCCCAAATTGGCTAATTTTATTGTTAACTGCTCATATGGTATGAAGCACAGAGAAGCAGGACCATCTCCTGCCTATATGTTCCTTCCTGACTTAAAAGGGTAGGGGGAACCTCAATGCTCTTAACATGGTCAGTGGCCAGCAATGATAATGATGACATGTTCTAATTGCATTTTGCATTTTCAAAAGTATTCTGTCTCATCATGTTAATCCTTTGAAACAGTTCTGGGCAGTAAAAGCACCACAGCACCCATTTCAAAAGCATATCCATTCAAGCCACAGAGAGTAAATGTGGGGGGCTTTGCTTTTCTCCCAAAGGTTGCCAGGTGAGTATATGAAACATTCAGGCCTCTAGTTCTGACATACCACCGCTCATCAAGTCCATAAGAAAGAGTCTCCATGGCTTTCTCTAAACCGAGGGCATGACTGTTGTGAGTGCTCCGTGTGATCTTAAAATCCCTTGCTTGACGACAAGTATCTAACAAGTCTGCTGCTTTCTGAATTCTAGCCAGACCCTGGCAGGTCACTGACTGAATGTCTACCAAGTGAACATGAAATGTATGCTGCCCCCTTTAGGAAGCCATTGCTGTGGATGTTCAATACCCACAGTTGCTTCATCCCACCCACCCCCCCATACACTAGAATGCCTTTTTTTTTCTTTTTCTTCTTCTTCTTCTTTTTTTTTAATCATGTAGGTTTTCCTTTACATCTTTTCTGAGAAAAACCTCCCATATTTTTCTTTAGCAGGGCTCAAGCTTGTGACATCAACAACACCAGCAATTATTATTAATTAATAACCATGTTTGTTAATTACTATTATTTAATATTATTAATATTAATTACATTGTTGTTAATTAATAATAACAATGTGTTGCCCTTTTTTGTATACATTCCTAAATGGGCAACGCTACAGTATACAGAATCCTAGCTAAAGGAATACAGGGCCCCAAATAACTTTCTTTTCCTGGCTTTTAAAAAGCCATCTTTATTTTCAGTTTACAGCTGAGTCCCACTTTTCCATTTATCAAGAATCCATACATGATTTTGAACATTATTTGTTTTGATATTTTATTTTAATGTAAGAAAGTTGAATTAAACAAAAAAAATTTAAAGAGAAGATAGCCTAATTGATTAAAATTGAAACCACCAACTCTAGGCATACCCCCTTGTTTTTAAAATTAATTCCCTCTCCAAATAAAATGTGCCCACCCTAGCTTTTTTAATGTCCCTATGTCCTTTCAGGAGACACACAAATGGCAAATGAAAATTAGTTTCTAAACTTTTTTTTTTTTAAACCCATAACACAGGTTAAATGTACCTTCCCCTTTCCTGGGGTTTTAATTAAATTAAAGTTAGTATGGTTTTGTTTATGCTTTTTGCCTATTTTAAAATAAAACTTCACAGAAAAAGGAGTTTTCCAAATGGGAACTACAGGGCCAAAGGGAAGAGGCTAGGAGCAGTGAGCAGTGGACGCCACCATCTGTGGGGCCTCCCAGCAACACACAGACTCTGGTCCCGACACCCACCTTGGCAAGCTCTTTAGTGCCCTGGCTGGAATGCACCCTTTGTTCCCATCATCGTCCTAGGCTGACTTATGGACCCCTGCCCTAGGATCAAGCTCTTCAGAGGGAATGAGAAGAACATGGGTCTGGCCTTCTGTAATTTCAGATGAAGAATCTTTTGAGATCTTCATTCAGCTTAAGAATCCTAATGGGCAGTCTCAAGCCCAGGCTGGCCAGAGAGTCTTATGGGGAAGGGGACTGTTCTTCTTCATTCCCTCAAATGAGAGCCAGAACACGCTAGAGCTCCCAAATGCTGAGTTTACCACTTTTCCTCCTTTCTTTATTCCAGGTGATGTCTTATTTCTTGTATAGTCTCAATGAGAGATGGTTAGCTCAAGTCTAGGCACCCTGTGCTCCCAGCTTCTACATTTCATAGTTCACTCTTTGTACAGGGTTTGTAAACACAAGTCAAGAGACAAATGACACCTTGCCAAATTTAGGATTATATGATAATGTGGCAGAAAAGGAAGAAAAAGTCCTGAAAGGGTCACTTTCCCCCCACCCTGAACAAGTATCATCTGTCGTTCCTGCTCATCCTACCTCCCTACTCCCCACTCCCTGCCACTGGCTACCTGGTATAAATTAATTCAGCGCTGTTACTTAGCCCAGGGGTTGGAATGTGGTTATTTGATATGCAAAAAAGTGTCTTTAGTTTCCCTCAATAACCAGATCACTGATGATGAAGACCAGCTGGTGGGACAGGAAGAGGACAAGACCAAGACTCCCCCCAAAAGAGGTAAGGACCCCCCACTCCCCGTGTTAACTTTTCAATTATTGCCAACTGTCACAGGCTTGAATGCTTTGGTCTCTGACAAGTTAGAACTATTGGAAGTATTTTGCATGATCGAAACTGGAGGCCGTGACCAAGAAGGAACATCAGGCAAGTGATTTGCGACAGAGCAATGAAAACTAAGGAAGTGTGCTTCTGTTGTACTCGGAGGTAAAATCTCAAACTGCATTACAAAGTGATTTGTTAAAGCTCAGGAGAATTCAGGAGTATTTTTGACTTGAAGAGTCCTGCCCATCAAACCCAAACACTGGATTTTACTAAATTCTAATGATTCAATTTGGGGATGAGGAGAGAGGTATAAAAGTGATATAAATTGTTATGTGATTTAAAATCTGATGTCAGTCAGTGTTTCTGACACTGTCACTCACATTTTGTGTGGGGGACACATTAAGTGTGTCAGACTTTGTCTACTGAGTTGATAATGGGAAGGAAAAAGCCTATATACCTACCTTCTCAGGAGTGTCACAGTCACACTGCCAGTGTGACTTCTGAAGGAGACACCAGAACAGTCAGCTGGAGCCCTTTCTCCTGACTTGCTGGCTCTTGCCTGTCCCTTCTGTCAAAAGATCTGACCACCTCTCTCCTCCTCCCTGTGTGAGCAGTTTGCCTCTCGTCAAACTGGTCACTAGTGTGTAAACAACTATGAAGGCATTCTTGCAGGTAACCCGCACACAGGTAAGTCCAAAACTGGATTTCTTTACACAAATGTCAACAGTAATGGTCACAACGACACACAAAACCCAGAGCTAGGTGCTGAGGTGAGTCAGGGACCCCAGGGCTGCAAAAGAAATGGGGGCAAGTGTCCTGCAGCTTACCTGGTGGACATGATGCGTCCTCTAAGCTCCTGAGATCTATCTCTCAGGTCTGAACCCTGGCTTCTCAGGCAGTAAAAGTAGTTTACTGGTCTCATGGATGCCAAACAAAACAGAAATGACTTCCTCTTTACCTTCCAAAGGATAAAGTATCAAGAGTAAATGGTGTTTCTAGGGCAGTACATAGCTGCTAAGGACCATCCATCCAAATGTCCTTTCAAACCAGCACTGTCCTCAGTCTGTGACTGTGTATAGCAATCCCTATTTGTCCAAAGGGATAGGACCAAAGCTCAAAGGGTTCCTTCTTAGGAACAGCAAAGCTTATTTGTAATTAGTCCCTTTGTTGATTGGTGCTACTATTGTTTTCAGAATGTGTGGGAAGTGCACGTCTTAACTCCTTGCATTTGCACTTTGAATGGCTCTCCTGGGCCTAGTGCATGCTCAAAGAGCTCACCGATAAAACTGCAAGTGCCACGCAGGGACCTCCTGCCCACTGTCCCCTCAAATAAGAGTTTTTCAGTGGCTGCCTTTAGAGAAGCCCAGAGACAGTAAACCTGGGTTGATATTTCAGGTGGCCACTAGATGGTGAGGCAGTATAAGCAAAGGACGGCAGTGGGTCTCTATTGCCAGTGAGAAGTGACAGGGAAACCCAGCGAGGTGAGGGAGGGTCTGGCTTTACACTTATGCTGCCCTCCCCCCTAAAGAGGAGGCTTGTAGGGGCCCCCAAAGTTTAGCCAGACGAACCCTTTTTTTGTATTTTAAGCAGTGATCTGACTCCTTTTAGCCAGGAACACTTAAAGGGAATGTGTTAACCAAGGGGTCCTCCAGGCAACTCCATTAGCATTTCACCACCCCTCCCCGGGGTGGTGGTGGGATGCAGGGACACCTGTTCTGTGTACCGTAGGATGCTTCTGAGCATCTCTGACATCTGATATCAGATACACACACCACCATCACCATTAGCAACTACACACATCACACACCCCACACCCCACTGCTGCCAGCACAAACACCTTACTGTCACACCACACACACACACACACACACACACACACACACACACACACACACACACACACCAACACTACCTTCTCACACATCAGTATGACAACCCAAAACTCAACACCAAATGTCACCCATGGTGGAGAGATGCTGCCTAGACACCCATCTCTAGTTCTGGGGAAGCTAGCTAGACATAAACATGGCATAACTTGTACATCTACAAGTAAGTAGTCTGAAGAAGTGTTGCCCCTCTACTAACCAGTCAGCAATTCGCATACTAATTTTAGTGGCCTGCATTCTTGGATAGAAACAATTTCCACAAATCTCCATGAGTGACCCCTAGATGACCCTAAATAGAAGAGAAGAAGAAGTTATTTCAGGCAAATAAACAATGACTCCGATGAGTCAATATCTAACTAATCAATGGGCAGTCAGTGTCAGGGGCATAGACTATTATTAACCCTTAACCACTGCACATAGGGTTCCTTAGGTTCATTAATTGACATCATGTTAGCCTGTGTCCCTCTGCCTGGTGTGCACTAGTAAATTCTATTATCGTAGAAGGGATTACCAGACAATAAGGGAGGCGCCTGCACCTACCTCTGTGTACTTGCAAATACTAGAAGAGCCTTGAACTAACCTGTGCACACCAGCCATAAGGATACGATTCCAAAGATGGCTACTCATCCATGGGAAGGTGACCTGTCACCTTTGAGTGGTAGTAGGAAGAGTAAAGTAATTACACTGGGGAAGAAAACAATGATGGCAATAGAAGTAACCAACCAAAGACATTTCCTGGTCAAAAATATTGTACTTGGTCTTTGATAAAACCGTTGATACCTCTGCATCTCAAAGCAGCATCTATACCCCCACATCTACGCATTGGAATGAGGGTTGCTTGTCACTTCATTTGGCCCAACCCACCAGCTTGCACCTTACCTCTCTCTCTTTGGCTGTTGGGGATTGAATCCAGGGTTTTATACTCTGCTGTCCCTGAATTGTACCCCCAGTTTCTAACTTTTTAAAAATGAAGACTTCTCCCATCCTTTTCCCCTCTTTAAGAACTTGAGATTTTTCATAATGAAATTACCTATTAGGGTAATGATGAAGGGGAGCAGTAAAAAAAATGATTGGTGGTTTGAGCAGTTAAATGCTGGCCATGCAAGGTGGGACCTTCCTGCAGACCAGCCTAAATTTAGTTCCAGGTTCTGCTAACCCAAGTGACCCCTAACAAGGAAAAGTCACTGAACAATCCTAGAAGTAACTTGGAGAAAAAAACCTCACAATGTTGATTTTGAGACTTTGCCTGGGACCAAGTACAACATCTTTCCAAGGAAATGCTTAGAAGACTCAGGGCAGAACCCAATATCCAATGCCAGACGTTAGGGGGAAATTTTTAAAGTTGGATAGCCAAAAAGCTTTGGGCTATTTATACTGTAGAAGTCACGTGACTTCAGTTTCTTTCCTTTTAGCCATTAGAAGGAAAGCACAGATCATTTTGTTTTGCCCAATAGATATGCAAGTGCGGATTTAAGACGGACACTTACGAGGGACTCTGTTAAAAGGGGGGAACGGAGGGCAGAACTGCTCCAACTTTTAAAGGGGGTCCTAAGATGATGGAGAGAGCACCGGCTTAGGCATCAGGGGTTTCCTGGGACCGTGATTTTCTGTCACTTGATTTTAGGATTCCGTGCACTTGCCAAATGATGTAGAAAAGCTAATGATGGGAGTCTTGAAATATTGACAAGGCTTCAAGTTGGCCCATAGTACTGCCATGGTCAAAGAGGGACCAAATTTGATGAGTTGTTTAAGAGGAGCCAGAAATTTCCCATGGTGGGGCTAGGACAGGAACATTAGGGAACATGGGGCACAGAGGAGACACTTACTCAGCAGGCAAATTAAATCTGTTGTAGCCAACACTCACCCCAACATTCAGGTGACAGGAAGTTTCAAACACCTTCACTCTGGAGATCACAGGTTAAGCTCTCAGTGGGGTAGGAGGGGGTGGAGGAGGAGGAAGGAAGCCCATCTCATTTGCACCCAAAGTTCACAGAGCTCAGAATCCAGGGAAAGAAAGAAACACCCTCAAGGAATCTTACCTGTTTACCCTCTTCCCAGCCTCTCCTTTTCCTACTTTATTTTTCTTTCTATACTCAGAATTTTTTTTATAAAGTAGGATCTTTTTTGTGTGTAGGGGAGCCATTTCTAACCCAGAATTTATAAAAATACGCATACATTTTAAAAGAAAGAAAGGAACACCCACTACTTAAGGCTGCAGAGTAGAAAAAAATTAACAAAGCAAAGCTGTTCAAAACTGGCTGGCAGATGGCGCTCGGCTTTTACAATTGAGAGCCTGGCTGCATAAAACTCTGTGCGCCTGCGCCTGCCTCAGGCGGCACTGTGGGGCCCCCTCCCTTTATCTCCCTTCCCAGGAATGCAGTCCCGCCCCAGGCCTAGGAATATATGTTTTTTTTAAGGTTTTCAATTTAACAACTGATATCTAGGGACAAATACCTCTGTTTGGGGTCCTTTGAAGACCTTAGGCAGGTCAGAAAGATAAACTACAATGGAGTGAACCAGGCAGTGTCTGGGGGCTTTGATCTATTGATTAACAGTGTAGAAAGAGCCCTGTTCTGCCAGGAGCCAGTTCTGAGACCCTGGGCACAACTTTTTGTCCCTTTGGATCCCATTTTTCCTCCTTTGGAAGAAATGGGGGAGGAGGGGGGCAGATTCTTTCTCATTTTAGAATTTATTCACTTAAGACAAGTTTAAAGTTGAAGAGGTTTGCCAGTAACCTAGGCACCACACACAAGCACTTTTGAATGTGTCCTTACCAAAATTCAGATGGTGTAGGAAAAACATCTTAGGCCATCTTTTGTTCTTTAACAAATGGCTTCTGGGTCCCCATACTGGGAGCTACTTTGTGTAGTAGCAGAGTTCAGAAATTCATCATTGCCCACCCAGCTGAGGGCTAGGAAGGAGATACAAACATAGGCTTCTAGGAGAAATCCAGGAAGCCTCCCTGGAGGAGAGGACATTTTAGACACTGTGGTTCCTTGTTTCCAAGAACAGTACCTTTGCACTTACCCTGATGCCACTGTCCTGTTTGCTCCACAGCAGCTGAGGAAGGACACATGGGCTTCCCAGGCAGGAGCCACAGGCTTCTCTGCTAGGAACTTACCCCTTCCTTCCCAACTAAGGCCAGCCCCGGTGCTCCATGCTGATAGGCTTCCTCCTCTAGCTCTTCTAAAAGGTAACAGTCAGGGAGACAAAATAAAAAGTATTAAGTGAGACAAACATTTCCCCTACACTGCTATTCAAATTTTTCTTTTCAGACTTTAGGAAAGCATTCTTTCCTCTTGCCCAGTTCTTTTTTTTCTTCTCCTGAAGATTTTAAAAGGCTTTTGTGGATCCTTTATGCCTTCCCCAGGGCTTCTGATAGGTGACCTCAAGGTCAGCAGTTAGGTACTAACCCTAACCCTTCCCAGTGTTAGAGTAGATAGGGTTAGGTAAGCAGCCCCTTCTAGCACCTTCTCTGGGCCGGTGGAGTTCCTACCCACCAGAGGTCAGCAAAGAGCTCCGAATAGCTGGGTCTGCTTGCAAATGTGGGAACTGGTAGAATTCTCTAGACCAAATGTAGAAAACCCAAACAGAAACAGCCCCAAATTTCAAGAGTGTCCTTGTGTGGAGTTCCATCCTGTCTTGGGCCCTTGGGTGCTTAGTTTGAACACCAATGGAGCCACTCCATGGAGGGGGACATAGGTTTTGATCCATTATTATTTGATAGGTTTCTTTTGCAGTCCCACTCCAAACACACAAATCCTTTTCTTGTCAGGGAGCTTCCTAGAGCCCCCCAGTCTCTCCTGGGGACAGAGTGCCTACTTTCACTTCCCTCAGGACTGAACCCCACCCCCTCCAATTTGGGCTGGCCCCTTTTAGGAGCAATGTTTATTGTTAAAATGACTTTCTAAGATTACAAGAGCCCCCACCCCACATCCTACTTTGATTTTACTTCTTATCTCACCCAGATGTGTAGTTAGTGTTTATTAACCATGGTTTGCAGGCTTTCGTTTGGCTTTCCCCACCCAGGCACATACACACAGAGGCCAGTTCATCTCTCCATAGACCCTTTTCACTCGGGTAGGGAAGAGGAGGGGAAGAACAGGGATTCCTTGCCCCTCCTTGTTTCTCTCTCTCTCTCTCTCTCTCTCTCTCTCTCTCTCTCTCTTTCTCTGTCCCGAGCATTCGAAGTCCCAGGGCTCTTGAGAACCACTTTTAAGTTAAGATCAACTCCCTCTGTTGGTTCTTTCTTATTGGGGGGTGGGAGGGAAAGAAGGAGTGAGAGCACTAGAAAGGGTTGCATAGAAATGAGTGAGATAACCAAAGGCAAGGTAAGGATTAGAAGGAAGAAAACAGGAGGGACGGACACCTTTGCCAAATTTAGTGCTAAACTCCAGATAAAGTCCCTGCCCTGTGGAAACTTCTAGTCTTGGAGGAAATCAGGTTTCAAGGAATAATAGCTGCCCAAGCAGAGATGGACAGCTAATAGTGAGCTCAGAACAGCCAAGGGCTGGCTAGGCTTAACTGAGGAGGAGGAAGAAGAGGGAAGGAGGGGAGCTTGGCCAGACTTTAGGACCCACTTGGGATAGCTGGGACCAAAAGTCTGATGGTGGAGGCAGAATGGAACCACCATGGTCCTCTGGCTGTTCTTTCCCAACACGCCCCATTTGATTTCTTCAACGTATCTTACCTGAACCCAAATGATTTTGTTTAATTTTGAAGTTAGGATTCCCCCTACCACACCCCTCCCACCACAACCTGATTTTCCAAGTGTTCCCACATGATTTGCCCACTTAGTGGTTGTTTTATTTTGTTTTAAGCAATCTGGCATACCACAGACTTTTTTTTTTTTTTTTTTTTTTTTTTTTTTTTTGTCCAAAGCAGAAAAACAAAACAACCCACCCTGTCTTCGTGAGTCCTTTGATTTAATAATTACCCAGAACAAAGCCAGGGCAAACCTAAGGTCAAACGTGAACACTTTGTACATTAAGTATACATTTTAGAGATCAAGGAAATCCTGCGAGCTCTACAGGTCGATGTGCAGAGTTTGGCTCCAGCCAGGTCTCATATAGGCATTGTTAGTTATCTTTCCCCCTTCCTTCCTCCCTTCCGTCCTTTCTTCTACCCCACCACCCCGCTTTGAAAAAACAACTTTTATTCTCTTGGGGTACCTTCAGTTGAGAGGGAAGATAATTTTCTCCAGTGAGGAAGAGGAGGGGGGTGGGTTCAGCCAGAGGAGACAGGACAAGATTGATGGCAGGGTCAGGGCACAGGCTAGAGACACCATAGCCAGACACAAGTCAAGAGAGCACAGCTTCAGCACACTGGCTGCAGTGGGGAAAATATTCTGTCAGCTGCCCCTCTGTGACCTGTGCTTTATTCACCAGGTCAAGTTTAAAAACAAAGCAAAGCAAAAAACAAACCCTACACAAGTGCTGTCTTGGTTGGTTGTGCTAGGACCCTACTCTTCTACATTTGGGTCTTTAGACCAAAGCAAAGCCACAGAGAGGAAGGGACTCCCAGGATAACCCTGCTGAGCTCCTTCTCATGGTTCAGAGTCTTGATCCTCCCCAACAAATGCCAAGAGTTAGAAATGTGTTGCTAATTGATTTGAGATGAATTTCTATGGCTTTGAGACTTAGCAAAATGGCTTAGCAAAACCAGCTCACAGTTACTGTTCTAATAGCCAAGAGAAGGGACTCACCACAAGTATGCTCATACAATGAGCCCCCTGTGATATTTTGGAATCACTAGAGTGGGGGGGGGGGGTCACAGTGGTTCTTTAGGAAGGAAACAAGGAAGACTGGTGGGAAGTGCTAAATGGAAATTTAGCATAAAATTGACCCGCCTGATTTAGGAAGAGTGTCACTCTAACATAGTTCCAAATGAAAACAGTTGTCACATGTTAATTTTTCCCATTTTGACCATTGGCAGAGCTCAGGGGTACTCATATGAGATAATACTCACCTTGGCAAGGAACATGGGAAACTGTCTAGTCTGCTATACACAAGCCCATTTTCTCTCATTGATAAGTTGCCCCAAATTTCCAGTGAACTTGTGTGTCAAATGTTGTTTCCTTTCTACTCACCTAGCAGCCTCACTATGCACGCAGTAGCTGCCCATGTGTCCACCACGCCTCTTGAGAAAAGGAGTCCTTCCCGGGTCGGTGAGTCTGCCTTGATTTGGGCATTTTTATTCATTCATTCATTCAATCACTCAATAGACATACGCTCAAATCTTGATATGTGCCCTTCCCTGTGGGGAAGTCTGATGTCTAAGACATGGCTGCTTCCCTTGGTGGTCCATGATTAAAACCAGACACAAAGGAGTGGACAAGGGTAGGTGATTTCTGTGAAGGAAGTCTATGAGAGTAGATACAGCTGCTCACAGATGAAGAACTCATCCAAAGACTCAGAAAACCCAGTAGAATTTGTCTTCTTGGGAATAACCATCTGCATCTAGACATCAATGGCACAACCCACCGTTCATGTTTCCATGTTAGCCTGAGGCTGAGGGTTTCTATGTGAGCAGTTGTGACTCATGGTCTGTTGTTACAGGGTAGACTTAGTATTGATAGCTCATCTGTCATGCTACCAGGAGAGGCCTTTCGGTAGGAGATGAAGTCTAAAAAGTCACAGCTATGTAGGCTTGGGGTCAGAAGGTGCTGGGTTGGGTATGGTACTAAATACTACCTTTAGCCTGTGGTCACTTTAAATTTCTGTTTGGTATGGACCAAAGAATACCTTTCAGGGCTGACATCCTCTGGGGGAGGGGGGCTTGAAATTCTTCCACTCAACCTTAAAATATTCTGTCTATGTGAAGGACTGCTATTTAGCTGGTAGGATGGAGAAATAGTTATGATTTGCAGCCAGAGATCCTGATGTACTCTACAGTATTTCACAACTCTCTGCCCTCCATTTTAGTTCTAATCTTCCATCCTGCCCTGCCCTCCATCTTGGTTCTGATCCACCATTTTAGATCCTGGCCTGCCTTCATCTTAGCTCTAGTCCTCCATCTTAGATTCTGCCCTCCATCTTAGATCCTCCATCTTAGCTCCAGCTCTCCATCTTAGAGCCTGGACTTAAGACTTCTTTTCCTTGGTCCCCAAAACAGTTGGAAACTCTGTATTCAAATACTGTCACTCATTCTGTAGAATGGAAAATATCTAGAATTTGTTTTCAGCTTTCCTTCCACAAACACTTATAGGCTACCTGCATATTTTCCTTGGAATAGTATACCTTAATCTATAGATCTGTAACGTTCAGCCTGGCTGGGTTACATATACACACATTTGCATCTTTAACGCATACATGTATACATGTAGGGTTTTTTTTTATTAGAAATAAACAAGTTCTTTTGGATGACTGAACTGAAGAAATTCTTAGAGTTTTTTATAATAAACACAATTCAGGTTTATAGAATTCTGAACTTAGATTTCTCCTTTTAAGTCTCCATCCTTCAAAGAGATCTGAAAGAGATGCATGAATTTCTCATCCTGTGTGTTCATGGATGAGCTCACAGTGAATTGGAGAGGTGGGGATTTGGCCCAGGCCTCCTAGCAGGCCTGCAGGTGGCTGTGTTCTGTTCAGTTAATCCCATTAGCTGCCAAAGGCTTATAAGGTTACTGTTTAGGGACATTTGCATTTTAATAAAGAGTCCTGTGAGGCCAAAATGAGGAAACAGTCACATTTTTAATAACAAAGTCCCTAGCAATAGGAAAAGGACACTGAGGGGGGCAGGGGAGGGCGATTTGCACCATCCTTACCTGCTTTCCCAACTCCCATTCTTCCCTGCTTGGGACCTGGACTGCCCAGCAGCCTCCAGTGCAGCAAACAGTTTTCCTGTCCCCTGTGATGCCAGGATGTGGAAGCCCCTGTACCCCCATACTTCTAGGGCAGCATAGCATATGGGTTGTGTAGTCATTTTGCTTTCTTTAAACAAGAAATGAAAGGTGCAGGGCATAGAGAGAGGAACAAGAAAGGAGTTGGGGCCAGTAAACAAGTCACAAAACAGCCCCGAGGTTAGCAAGCTTCATGAAGGGCCTGCTGGCTGTGTGGTTACAGCCTGAGGACAACCTGGTGCTTAGAGGTACAGGTTGATTGCACACCTTAGCCTGGAGTCACTCAGAGCTGTGTTGACAAACTGAGGGAGACCTAGATTGCCATTCTCATTTGCCAGATACTAGC